ACGCAGTTACGGCTTTGTTGTAGGTACATACTGGTTTTAATTTGCAATTGTGTTTCCATCGCAGTTTTAATTTGCAGTGGTGTTCTCCTGGTTGTAAAAAGTGACTGTTCCAAATGATCTAAACATTAATTGAAACACAACGTTTTAATATCAATAATTTTTATTCAGTTATTCTTGGGTTTTGAGGTATGTATAAATGTTAACCCATTTTCCATGCAAATGAAGAATGTTTATTATTATTATTCAAAAAATTCTGTGTAATTTCATCGATTTTTATCTTAAAAAAAAAACTATTTCAGTCATAAAATCGAAAATTATTCAATATAGTAGAATTGCTTATCCGAATAAATTCTTGGATTGGCAGCGATTGAGAGAATGGAGTTTAAATTCAAAATTTGGTAATACTTGAGATAATTATGTACAAATCGTGCCGTTTGTTCGTTCAGCCAGAGACTCTCTCTCGTCCAGAGCATTTTGAATTTACAACTGCTTTTGCATATGTTTACAATTCATCTCGCAGAATATGTGTGGTGGTTTCAACTTTGGGTTTGATGCTGGCAATGGCAGGATCTTGGAATGCCCAAAATGCGTATGGAAAACCGCGTACACTTCGAGATCGAATAACAAATGCTGAAAATGATGAGATGCAATTGCCAATGTAGAGATTCGATTTTTCCAATATCATCAGATCCAAATGTGGATTCCGTTCGCCGGTGCGAAAGGCTTGAATCTTCAACCGTTTCAATGCGTCATTCAATTCGCTAATCATGTGGTCATTGTCCGATGCAACGAAAATGGATTTAATCGCATTGTTTGGATATTTCGCATGATATGTTTTAATTTCCTGTTTAATTTGCTTGATGATCAACTCTTTCGATGGAAAGCACATATCCATTGTGGCCTTGCCCTTTTCGTTGAGATAGCCAACACATTGCGGTGCTGAAAATAACTTTGGACTTTCATCGATCAGTTCACAGGCTCGTTTCCAATCAACACCATTGCGCAGATGAATGCCCAAGTAGGCGCCCTTTGGCAGTGTGGATTTCACCCAATTCGTTGCTTTCGCTTGCATCTCTTCCGTCCAAATGAGATACTTTTGCAGTGCAACATTCTCTTTCTGCACCGGGAATGTGGCCGGAGCACCGGTGAATGCAAGCACTGGCCACTGTTCAGCTGGATACTTATGTTGCCATTTATCAATCAGGCTCGGTGTATGCAAAACATCATAATGCAACGGTGAGAAAAACTCGGAACTAACAAAATCAACGCTGAACTCATCCCAAAATGGACCAAATGGATTACCCTCCTTTGCATAGCAATCCTTCTTTGTCGATCCGATCAAACTCTTGCGCTCCATGTAACAGAATGAAATACGCTGATCTTTTGGCCATACATCATCCGCTATTGTCTCCATAAAATCTTGCATCAAAATGGCACGATGGTATTTTTGGATTGGTTCCACTTGGAAGTATCGGTTGAATGGCACTTGGATCGAACGCGGTTCACCCGGTCGAAATTCTATCCATGGTGGTAATACAAGTGTACGATTCAATGCCTTGGCAAAACTTAATGTTCCCAAAAATTGATCCGCTTGATTACCAAAACGCCCTATAAATGAATGACAAAAAAAAACACCGGTTAACCAAACCATTCTTTATTTTGAGTGATTTTTATTCGCTAATTTTTACTTTAACTTACCCATACACGGACAAAACACCAGGTAGCCATTGGAATCAATTTCCACCGCTGATACCAGTCCCAGCACCGATGTAATTATTAAAAATGTACAAACCAAACCGTTTCGCTTCATGTTTCAGCATCATTTGAAATGAAACAATCACACACAGACAACACGTCATTGTGCACAACACGTCAATGGCCACACTACTGTCATCGGCAAAGAAGACACTTCAAACATTACATTTCGATCGTAATGTTTACGAAAAGCGGTTTACAACACTATGGCTTTGAACAAATTTATGCATCCGCGTAATATTTACAATACACCAGCCGATTTTGCTAAATTAGCCGATGAATTTGAAGAATTTCGAGCGATAACCAAAACGGTGAGTTGAACATTTCATTTAGAATTGCAATTTCATACTCAAACATGTTTCAAATGTACAGAATGACAAAGGAAAGGTTCACATTGATTTCAAAGATGAAACAGCACTGAAAACATTGACGACCTGTCTGTTGAAACGGGATTTTAAATTAACAGTGCATTTACCACCAAAGCAATTGGTGCCAACGTTGCCACTGAGATTGAACTATATTTTATGGATTGAAGACATCGTGAGAACGTTTAAATTTGACAATGTGATTGGTCTGGATATCGGTGAGATATTTGGCGTGTTTTTCAATTGAAATTTAAAATGTTGACTTTCTCTCAAATTCATTACAGGCTGTGGTGCATCATGTATTTACCCATTGTTAGCAGTGCAAACCAATCCGAATTGGCGCATGTTTGCCATTGAATTGAATGAAGAGAGTGTGAACTATGCGCGTAAAAATGTCGATCAAAATGGATTGAGTGAACGTATTAAAGTCATCGACTGTGCATCCAAGGACGATCCATTCGATGCACTTGACCAGTGTAAGGAGTGGGAACGATTCGATTTTACCATGTGTAATCCACCATTTTTCAAAGACGACCATGATTCGGATGATGACACAGCGAAAGAGACAAGCAAACGAAAGCCAGCAAACAATGCAAAAACTGGCATCAGTTGCGAATTGACCACCACTGGTGGCGAAGTTGAATTCGTTAAAAAGATCGTGCAACGAAGCAATCAGTTCAAGAAAGTGGTCAATGTGTTTACCACAATGCTAGGCCATAAGACGAGCATTCAACCGATTATGCAAGAGTTGAAGAGTCACGGTATTACAAACTATTGTACTAGCGAATTTTGTCAAGGCTGGACCAAACGATGGGGTGTCGCCTGGACATTTCGAAATGACTTACTTTTACGAACTGTACCGGTTCTTGGACAGACACAACCGAAATCACCACAACGATTCCTACCCGATGATGTTGACGATCCAGATATTGCCACAAAGAAGCTATGGTAATGATGATTCCGTATATGTAATGAGCCATTACTAAGGACCTTTATTCCCTTCTTTTGCAATTTTCTGACTGAAAAATCGAGCCTTTAGTCCATTTTGGGCTATTTTCTGCATAAAGAGCAACAATAAAACTCGTCTTTTTGTACACTTTCCAGTCGAATTCTGTGCGAATTATCCGACACAAAAATAACGAATCTGGAGGAAATCGAATCAGGGTCACGCTTTCAATTTATTGCACTCACCGATTCATGGAAGAATCAAAGACGAAAGCGACGACAGCAAGCCAGAGAACATCAAAACACTGATGGCAAAGAGAAGCAAAGTGCAGAAAGAACGGATGAATCAGAGAAACCAGAAACTAAAGTGAAAACAGAAGAGGTGAAACAAGAGGCAGAGGAAACCGATTCTCATCCAGCAAAGCGTATTAAACTCGATGAAACTCCAGTTGTGGATCGAGTGATGCAGATCATCAATAGCAGCGATTCACCGCCTCTATTGCACATTGAAGTGAGCGTTCAATCGAAGACGCTCAATGACCTCAAAGCCATCGTTGACGTCAAACTTACCTATCTCAATGGCACGTCCAGCCTTAATGGAGTCTATGAACTGTTACAATTCATCCAAAATAAATGGTCGCAATAAAATTACCAACGAATTTGGTACCAAATTTTGGTAAAATAACCAAATCATGAAATTTTCTGAAATAAAGAATTATTCTTGAAATAAAAACACATTTTTACAAGAAAATTACTTTTATACATTGTTTAATATTGTATTTATAAATGGAACTGTTGTAATGAGTCGGCTGCATTTTTTCAAAATAGTAAAAAAAATGATTTTGTGGGATTCAATGAATGTGTTGCTGTCAAGCGGCAAATTCCAATTAAATCCAATTCACTGATCACCCTTTTCCTACACTTTCAATGTTTTAATTACACTAAGATTTTATTTGTGATTTTCTCATTAACTGATGCTGTTGTTGTTGTTCTTTTTGTTTGTGTGTTTCGTTTCAAAAGAAAAAAAATTGTCCTTTATTTAGTTTTAACTAATGAGAGCTTCTCTTTCTCACTTAATACGCAATAGAATAAAAATAAATTTATGCCGTCGATTTATGCACGCCTTTGCTTATTTTGTTGTTATTTATTTCATGCAACGAATCGATCGAAATATTTGTTGTTCCAGCGTGTGTGTTTTTTTACTCGATGATGGTGGTCTCTTCTTTGATTAAAACTTCAACAATTTCTTCTTCAAGTTCGTCTCGATTCAATTCATCTGTATCCAAGTCTGGAAATTGGAGGGAAAAAGGAATGTTAGAAATGAAGAAACAAAGAAAATAATCGAGATCGAAATCAAAACCGAAATGATGGAAAACGCTTATGCTTTGACGATTTGAAATTGTGATTTAAATGGGAAAAAAAATTGTCATGAAAATTCGAAACTTACGATTACGTAGTGCCATTCTAGCTTGTTTCTGTTCCTTCCATTCTTCAATCCGTTTGGTACGGTATTCCATAAATTGTTCGCGCAACGTGGCCCGTTTCTCGAGCAATTCTTTGGATGCACGTGTCATACGTAAGCGATCCTTTTGCTCAAATTGTGGATAGTATTTCTTGAGGTTCTTCTTAACTTCCTTTTGTTGTTGTTCGCTAAGCAGTGTTGGTGGTCGTGGTCGCCATAAAAATTGAACGAAGCTCTTCAACAGTACACGTTTCATGATTTTCCCCTGGAACGACCACATATTATAACCATTGTCTTCTTTCACTTTCCATGCACTGACACCGGTCACACAATATCTACCGGTTGGATCCCATTCAACGTCGGAAGCACGGAAATGATCGCATGAGTTCATCACAATGAAATCATTATTGGCGTCAACGAATTCAAAGGTGCCCATTGTCAAATTGGCCAGCACAATGAATGAACCGCGTGGTGACCAAAACAGATGGCTGCACTGTTTCTTCTCCAATTTCTTGACCAAACTAATCTTTTGTCCTTTTTTCACTTCGTAGAAACTAACATTAGCGCTGCTCGATTCACCATGAATGATGGAGAATTTTGTGCCGATCGGTTCCCATGCAAATGCCAAAATCAATTCCTTTATTTCCACCGAATCGACGGGGATATCTTTTTCACGCATATGGAATATTTCAAAGTTATAGAACATGCCCAAGAATTTAACGTCCGAATCCTTTTTATCTTTGCGAGATTTTGAGAAACGATCAACTTTTACGCACAAATAATCGCCGCTCTTTTGCCAATGGATTTTACAATCGGCCACATTGAAGAGATTTTTGTTACGGATTTCCTCCAATCTTGGTATTTTCATAAGTGTCACTTTGGCCGGTACATCGGTCTGTTCGGCCACCCAATAGGCGATAATGTTATCCGTTGGTGACCAGCTGAAGTTACGCAATTTTGGGATTTTAATCGATTTCATGTCCAATAAATAAAAGCTAGGCGTCTCATAGACATGAATTGCTTCATCACCCATACGAGCCACATAACGATCATCGTGCGACCAACGGAACATTGACATATTGTTTGAACCACCTTCCGATACAAATGAACGCTTCTCTTGACCGGTACGAATGTCCCAGATGATAATCTTTTGACCGGTTGCCGTTGGACCATAGGTGACCAAGTATTTTTCGCACGGCGAAAAATCAACAAATTGTGTACCAGCTTGTGGGAATTTATTGATACGGGTGAATGTTGAACCACCCCAAATGGCAACACCCTGTTTGTGGAACGTGACAATGTACGTACCAAGTGGTGACCATTTCACAAAGGTATCGGTGAAACGCTGTTGAATGAATGAACAGAAGGAGAAAAAAACAGTCATTTTAAAAATCAATTTGTTTTTGAATTTGATGCCAAAGCTAAAATCAGACAAAACCTACTTCTCTTGTTTCCAATATTGTTGGCTCAGGTAATGTATTTTGCCAGAATTGCACTTGAACACCATTCTGTGGTCCTTCGGCAGCCACACAATACTGATCGTATGCATCTGATTCGGTTAAGAATGTGTACAAATCATTTTGGACTTTGTATGGTTGCGGTGTTGGTGGTGACCAATTCTCCGGTATATGCTCATACTTTTGGAAATCGGTAAACAAATTCACGGAAAATGTAAACTTTCGATCCAAACGATGGTTGTTCAACGTTTTCACCGCTTCCTCAGCGTTTTCCGCATTCTTGTATTCCAAAAAGCAATAGCCTTTTGTGTTGCCCTCCTCATCAACGGGATAGAATACGTTGGTGATTTCACCGCATGTTGAGAACAACTTGTGAACGACAGTTTTCAACTTTTCTTGACGCGTTGGATCCACTTTTGGGATGTTGTCAACAATCACCACATTTTCAACGCCATCCGTTTCGCTGGGACGCTGCTTGAGCAAATCACCCAACAATTCTAAAAATAGACGAAAACAACAACGAAAAATGAAGCAAATTTTCTTTTTTATTTGGTTTTTTTTTGCATTGCATTCATGCAGCGATTTTAGGTTAAGTTGCACACTGTGTGCGACACTTTCACAATAGCACTATACCGATGCCACGCTGTCATTCTAACTTGCACTACAACTTTTATTTTCATTTTGCACATCTACACCGAATTGCCAATTGAATTCGGAAAATGTCCAAATACTCACCTTGATCGGAAATGTCATCAACAAAATCCTCTGGATCCTCGAAATTCGGCTCTTCACCTTCCACATTTTCACCATTTCGGTCGTCGGTTCGCTTTTTAGCCATTTTTTATGGATTGCTCGTTCGATCCACCGCTGATTTTTCAATTGAATTCACACACAAAATTGATACTAGCCAATTTTTAACAAACCGAAATAAATCCTATGCTAGTTTTATGCTAGGCTTTTTTTTATTGTTTTATCCACGAAAAGTAGAAAAATGCCGCATCGATATCGATACGTACCAAATGAAGAAAGAGACAGATTCAATCTACCGGAAGGTATAAGCCTGTCGCCTGTATGAGTTTTCAAAATGGCGTCGTACGAAATGTCATCGGCGTGTCGCTCTCTGTATGTGTCTTGACGTTGACTACGCGTATTTTATTCCGATTCATTTCGTGCACGGAATCATGTTGATGGTTAACGTACAATAGATGGCGCGATAATATCAGCTGGATAAAATTCATGTGTTTCATTAAAGAAGATAAAAACAGTAAACACATGATGACTTCAGCTTGATTCATAATTTATTTATCACATTTATCTTGTTATGGAATCTGTACAGCGACAGTGGAATCAATGGAGAGAAAAACACAATGGCTCATCGGAACATTTCATTGTTTCTCAAACATGAACACTAGCACATTCTTTTCTCTCATTTCATTCGTGTTTTTTTGCATCATTTCATCACCCATCTATTCATCTTTTTTCGTATTAAGATTTGATTCATTTGTATCGTTGGTATCATTGCTTCCTAGTGAAACAAAAACGAGTCCAGTGATAACGAATGCTGTGCCGAGCCACCAAAGACTTGATACTGTCTCGCCAAAAATCCAGCTGCCGATAACCGCCTGTAAGGAAATTAACGCATTATTCCGGTGGATTGAATTTTAACATGAATTTAAATGAAATTGATTCTAATTATTGGCATGGCTTTAGTTCAGGACATTGTTGGAACTATCGAACGTTCATGATTTTGAATGAATTTGCAGTTATTACAACAATTCGACGTATGAAACGTACCGAACAACAATAATTGGTTGCTGTGCTGGTCACTGTGGCTACAATCGATCCGCCTCGCTGATGAAGGGCTTTCACAAAAAATGTCCATACAAACACATTACAAAGAACCATCAATCCAATACAGACCACTTTCAATGACCATCTCCAGAACAATTCCTGTAAAAATCAAAATTTTCAATTGCTTCATCGTTCAAAGTATTTCTTTCCTGAATTCAACGAGAAAATCACCTACCGCTTGACTCGTATCAACGGGTATGTTGTCAATAAATTCATCTGAATATGATATGAATTTGCCAAAGACGCTGGCTGCCGTTCCAAAAACACCCGATAAAATAGCAAAATGTGGCAATTGCATCAAATCCATATTAAATTCAAATTTCCTAAGTGTTCAATGTAGTATGCAATGTTTTTGTTTCTATCAAATATTGACATTTTTTAGTTAAAACGTCACAAGCTATGTGTGTGTGTGTGATTGTGCCTCCGTCTGGTGATAATTGCAAAATGAACACATTCAAACTTTTGATTCAAAATAAAAAAATTTTTATTGAAAATGGAATACTGACACAACTTAGTGCAGAATTTCGGTTGAAAAATTGTCTGATGGCAAATTATAAATCAAAAAATATGACCCAGAAAATTATTGGAAAAATGTTGACAATTTTTCAAATGAAATCAACATATTTTGATCAATGGAATACGTTTTAATTTTTGCATTATCAGGAAATAGCTCAGAATGCTAGTTGTTAAGTTGGTAATTTAGAATTGAATTGTTCTTGCCATTTCAACAATTTCTCTCCGTCGATTTTGATGAATCGAGAAACATTTTCCAAGCATTTCTGTTCAGAAACCAAATTTCTTTTTGTGAAACTGACATTATCAAGAGTCACAACAATTTGGATGTCCAAAATTTGTCTCTCACAATTTGTAATATGACAATGAGTCTTTTTTGAAGTTTTGATCATTTTCAAAGAACTTCCATAAAATTCCGGAAACTTTGGAAGTGCTATTCGAGAAATCTCGGAGCTTCTGTCGACGTCCACAATCTGGAAAAGCTGTATACTGCTTTCCCAGTGGTTTCTGTGTGCAAGAGATGGCGTTCGAGCACTCGTTTGAATTATTGAAATAAATGTGGAAAATAAAGTGATTTGAAATTAATGACAAACATCGAGTACATGTCCGACGTTGATTGAATTTTTCCTTTCGACAATGATTCTTCACTTAAGCTTATTATGTCATCCATTATTAATAAAACAAACATAATACCGTTTAAGCGAAGCTCATTGTGGCATTAAATATTAATGAATCATTAAGGCGCTCATATTGCTTCATCAAAAATGCCATCTCCAACTGAAATCGTATTTTCATACAAAATTCAATTTATAATTCGTCAGCAAACTGTCCAACACAGTCGGTACGCAATTGCTCTGTTCAACCCTTCAAAAATTGCCATTCATATCAAAATGTACACCAAGTTTCAAACGGATTAAAAATTGCCATTTAATTCAAATAGGATTTGTTGGTGTCATAAATACTTATGCGAAAGAGAGGAGAAAAAAGACCAGCTAAATTAAACCATTCCATCATCACTTTAGTATTTAAACTGGCTTAAGTATTCATTCTCATTGGAGCGCAATGAAATTGTTCCTGCTTCTAATCACACGCCAAATAAAAAGTAAATTTTCGCATTTTAATCGTTCGGCTTTTTCATTTCATTCCCCATTTTAAAGATGGTGTTTTGCTGCTGCTGCTGCTGTATTGTTGGCTGTGCGATAGCTGTTAATGCCTGTAAAATTAATGTTCAACAACAAAAAATAGGGTTACCGATACACCATTTCACATGAATTGAGCCAATTGCGTGCTAGAAACAGAACGAACCGAGAACATGCAATTTCTCTCTCTTTCTGCATCTATCTGCTTACTATGCGATGGTATGCATATGTATATACAGATAGACGATGGTGTGTGTATAAATACACGCTTGTAGATACATTGTTGTACTCCTGCTATCGCTCGTTCACTCTCTTTCTCTCTTGCACGCGCTCACACACGGTGTCGCTCTCTCCCTGTGTACATTCCATCGTACAGTTGTGTATCAGGTGGTTCATAGTCTTCATACCTTTAGTTTATACCATTTCGTCGTGTGCTGTTCGTTCGCTGTATATTTCTCATTCTCTCGCGCTCTCGCTCTATCTTCCACATTCTATATCGGTGTCTTCGAGATGCGTTTGTATAAACGTAAATAAACTCTTTACACTCAATTCACATTTCGTTAAGCTGCTGTGTGTGAATATTTTCTATATCGTTTGTAAATTATTTATTTTTGGTTTTTTTTTTTAAATAAAACATCTTCAATTTTTCGTTGTTCTTATTGGTTTCAATGATTTGAACGTAAATGGTATTCAGTATATAGAGTGTATATGTGTTTTTTTCGGTGCAGTGGTTTCATTTTCTTTTATGTCACTTCTCGTGTCCGGTCAACACACAATATTTCCGAGATAACTTTTTTTTTCTCTTCGTTTTATGTGTGTTTAATTCAACTGTCCAGTTTAATGAATTTTTGAGTGTGGTACAAAGTATATAAAAGTGTTCACAGTTGGTTGTTGTTGTTGTTGTTGTTGTTGTCAAGCATTGCTGAAGCACTTGAACATGGAAATTATTTAAAATGGGATAAAATACATAGAATGTTTTCGTCGGTGCGGTTTAAACTTAAAAGAAGCAATAAACACATGAAAAAATAGTACAAAATTAAAGCATTGACATTTACATTAATTTACATTTTTTATATGTGAGATGAACAACCCGAAGCAATTATATAACTTGTGATACCGAGAATTGTGTGTGTGATGCGTTCTCAACAACAACAGAAAAATTTTCTATTTTGAATCTAATGTAGTGTTTATTGTGAAAGAAAAAAAAAGTATTTAAAAAACGTTTTCTCTTCTTGTTGTTATTTGTTATTTATTTATGTGACCCACAAAAAGGACCAAAACGAATATAAATTTAAATCAAAATCGAAATAATAAAAGAAAAACAAGGAAAAATCGAATCAAACAACCAACCGAGAAATAAAAGTGTCTAAACAAAGCCAACGTTTCTCGATCCCTCTCTCTCTCCCTTGGGATTGCATTCTAAAGTCTCATGACCAGTAAACTGGTTTTCAACAGCGTTACAAGAAAAACTTTCCGGTGTGTATATTGAGATAGATATACAGACCAGCGAACACACGCAGAGAGAGAGAGAGAAAAAAAAAAATAAACGAAGACAAATTATCGGCGTAAGTAATTTTGTGAAGCAAAAAGAGCTCACTCTTTGTCGGTTATGCTGTTATGCGGTAGAGTGAGTGTATGTATGTATTTTGCGAGTGCAAAGAACATCATTCAGATTCATACAAATAATGGAAATTTAACGAAATATCCAACAGCTACACGATAAATTTCTGTCGGTTGCATCCGATTGAAAAGCGTGTAACGTGTCTTGAGAGTGCATATCGAAATTTGAAGAAGAGAAAAATAAACAAAAACCAAAAAAAAAAAAAAATAAACAAAATAAACAAAAAACCATAGCAAAATTGCACCAGCATTTGGTTATTTAATCGTTATTAATTAAAAACGCGACAAAACAGCAACGGACTGTTCTTTTCCATCACACACAACAGCATATTTATTTGGTGTCAAGAGTTAATGACAATCAAATGTGAGTGCTCCGGTTGGTTGTGTGTTGAACAACATCAACGGCAGAAAGAAAAAAATGCATCGGAAAAAATGAGGCGCATATTCAACAGTGCAGGTGTTTGGATTTGTGCAATCAACTGGTATATCAACACACCAACGTAAGTAGACATAGCTGCTGCTATTTGTTTTTTTTTCTCTCTCTCTTTTTCTGTTTTTCCTTCTCTCTGTCTGACTCTGGAAATGCAATGCACCTCTTTGTCATTCAGTTAGTTCATTCTTTGTCCCTCTCCTTGTCTTACTCTGTGTGTACTTGTTGAGTAGAAAAAACATTCTAAAATAACAGCAACAACAATAACAACAACCGTCGTAATGAACAACTAAATGTGAGACCAACGCAACACCGAACATTGTCTGGCAAAGAGGAAGTTTTTTTTTCCTCTCTCTCACTTGAACAACAACGACAGCAACAATGTTGACGACGACACGCTTTGCATTATAACAGAAAAAGTGCAATGACGAAAAATGAATAGCACATCAACTAGACTCTCAATTAGAACGCAAACCGTGTGTGTGTGTGTGTGTGTGTGTGTGTGTGTCTCTCTCTTTTTTTCCAATTTCAAAGTCATCGTATTTTTTTTATTATTTATTGATGCTAAACGGATATACAATTATTCGTATAATTCATGCGTAATGAAATAGAAAAGTAAAATGGTTTAAAATGTTACTTTTCGGCCGTATCACACCGGAAATAAATTTCGAAGCTAAAACCGAAAAAAAGCGAACGAAAGAAAGAAAGAAGAATAGCCGACGAGTAGGTCTACGTGAAATCAAATGATGCATTCTGTCACAAACACATTCATCGTTAAACGTTATGTGAATTGTTAGCACGTGCAGTACAACCGTTAAACAGGAAAAATGAGCGAATGAACAAAACGAACGAGAAAAAAAAATGTTGTGATTTAAGCTCACCTTATGATTGAATTTCGAGAATCAATTTCTAAACATTAATCGACGTCGGTCAAATCAGTCATCGTCTCATAGGCACATTCTTGTGTATATTATTGTCAAACCACTTGAGTTAAGACTCATCGAAGTGATATTTGGGCCTGAGTTGCAAAACACTTTAGATAAGAGGCACACATATCGGTCGGATGGACGACACCCAAAAAAAAAAACAACCTAATCAGAAGCAGAGAGAAACATTGAAAGTTATCGATATGTTTTCAATTGGCATGCTACACTCGAATTTCGAGTCGGTCGTCGTTATTTTCGATTGGTCGGCAAACAAAAACAAAGTTTCTTCGTTTTTCCTCAGCGTGTAATTTGATTTGTAGCAACAAAGTTTTTTGGACCATGGCTTTTCCCGGTACTCAGTCCATCTTTCGCATTTCATGTCGTCTTTTATTCATGTTTTGTTGGTTGTCTTGGCTTTTTCACTCATTCTCTTGGTTTTCAACTTATTCCCACACTCTCTCGCCCCACCTTCTTGCTTTGGACAAGGACTCGGGTCATAAGATACGGATAAACCCATGTAAAGTGAACCGAAAATATGTATCGACAAAATTGGTCGGTTGCTTCTATATCAAATTCTTGTTGTGCGCAAAAAAAAATAAGTTTCACTGAAATGGACTTGTCTTGATTTTCGTCATGATTGTTCACTAATTAGACTTTGATTTGTTTGCCATCAAGTTGGAGCGACGACGGCACGATACCAAGGAATGACAAACTTTGTGCGGAAGAATGATTTCTAAGTCAATTGAATTTTGTGACAGTGAGAGAGGCAGGGAGGGAGAGAGACAAAGAGAGAGAGAGAGAGAGAGATGTTTTCAGCGTTTTCCCCATTGGTTTAACAGTACATTCGCATTTGATTTGGCGCAATATGCTTTTACAACGACGTAGAACCGAAAAACCGTCTGTAATTCGTTTAAATAGTTCGGTGGTGCGTATGCTTCGTACACTTCGTACGCTTCATTTAGTTAGGATTGTTTATTATTGTTCTGATTTCAAAGTGAGTCCCAAGATGTCAATAATAATTTCATTGCATGCAAAAGGAGAAAGAGAGAAAATGAGCGCCGTTTTTATTAGTCGAATATGTGTCAAACACACACACACACACACACATGCATACACACTCTCTGTGTGTGTTGAGGCACCTAATGGCACCCAAATAAAAATCAATATGAAAGCATAGTAAAAAAGACTTTTTTTTACCACCATATGGTAATGTAGTGTTTCATGTGCCAAATGGTAGATCAGGGAGGTTAGCATATCAGATTGAAAGCCCAAATCATTAAACGCAAATGCTTTTGACATGCAGCCAAAGTTTGTGCATTAGCGTGAAGCAAAGAGCCTATATTTCAACATATTACAAAGGATTCTCATCAGATTTCGTCCAACAATGACGACGACGACGGCGGCGACGGCAATGGCAGCAACACAAGCATAACCAACGAATGCAGAAAACAAAAAAAAAATGAAAAAGAAATGTGCTGAGACAACCAACGATCTGCAATATGAAATTTATGGCAAAGTCAAACACATAAGCCGGGAATGGATGAATGGTGCGAACGAACCACATAAAAGCCCAAAGCATACACACACACACACACACACACGTACGAAACGAACGAATAAACAAACACATATCTTGTGCGCCACTCTGGCCTACACACTGGTTGTGCCGTTTCAGTGCCAATGAATCGTTTGTACTATTCAATTTTAAATAGTATGTTAAACATTCGATTTTCTCGTTATGGTTGTTGTTATTATTGCTGCATGGCCAAACACAGAGCCTATTTGAGCGAAACTCTTGCTCATTCAAAAAAACATTGATCGCACAACGAAAACAAACGAGAATCCAATAGCCCAACAGCCCAGCAAATGCATTTCATGTTGGGGCTCAGTGTGTGTGTGTGTGTGCAATGCCTTGCTCATTGATGTTGGAGAGTCAGTTGTTTTAGCACCCAAATGGATGATGCAGTGAGAGCGCACACGAGAGCTTACATTGTGTGCCGATGCAATCATATATTCCCTGCAGTTTGCGAGTTGCATTATTTAATAACTTTTTTTTTTATGGGCGAGCAAAAGAGAGGTAGAACGAGAGAGAGAGAGAGAGAGAGAGAGAGAGAGAGAGAGAGAGAGAGAGAGAGAGAGAACAATGTATGAGTGTGAGAGAGTTTGTGCTGAGTTTATCCCATTCACTATACTGTTTCTGCTGCTGCTGCCTCTTTTTTTCGAGAAAGTCAAAAACGTCTTGCATTTGGACGAAACGAGCAGCAATATATCTCAGACACACACTCAGAACTCAACGAGTGGGACAAAGTATATACCGATATGTGCAGTAAAGCGGCTGGCTCATCGGCTCTTTTCTCTCTATACATGAAGTTAGTATTTTTTTTTATGCTTCTGATAAAGTATTTATACATCGTACATAACCTATGCATGCTGTGTACGATGAACGTTATCCAAGTCACACACTCAGCACACACTCGATTCAGTTTTGTGAGTTGGGAAAACGGCAGCAAGGCAAACGAAAGCACACACACAGTAAAAGCAACAACAATAAAAACCAACAACAAACAACCAAACACGGAGAGCACACGGACTGAACTCTTGTTCGCTCACTCGCTTGCTTGCTCGCTCGTTCGTTCGTTCGTTCATGCACACGTGCAGCGGCACATCGGCTCCCTTTGGCTTGCTATCGCTTTGGAAATTCATTGCGTAGTGAGCACGAGTCTTTGGATGGATGTGTTTGGAATTGAATCTAGCGCGCGAGCGACAGAGAAAATGTGTTGTTTTTGCTGAAACTTTTGTTGTTCGTTTCGTGCCGTAATATTTCTCTCTGTTTCACGAGCCAGTGTTTGCAAATAAATACAAGCAGTTGAAAGTGAAGAATTGTACAAATAACGAGGCGCGCACGATGGTGAAGCGCTCACTATCGAGCTCGAAACATTGGATGATGCCACAGCTATCATCATGCCAAGATTTTAGTTAGAGTTTGAATTTATAACGGTTCAAGCCAAAAAAAAAAACACCGCACCACGTTCAAGTTGATGTTGTTTTTTTTTATTCGGGTTTACTCCATATACGATTTTTAAAAACTGATATTGTGTGTAGCGTGTGTGTAAGCGCGCATTTCTCATTACGCTCGCTCCTTTTGTGCACTTTTGGATAACACGATTTGTTTTTTTTTTCTCTTTCATATTTTAACTTCCTCGAAATAGAAACAGTTTGCCGAGTTATGTGAAAAAAAAACCGTTGAGAATTTGTTTTTTCTCTCGTTTCTGTGTTTCGTCGCTTTTTTTCATTCTAGTTCTTTGTTGTTTGTTTTTTTTTTCGGTGTTTTATTGTCACGCTCACAATATACAACGTAACAACGTGCACTGCAATTCAGAAACGCTAACTTTTTTCGGTCGGTTGATCGACGAAACAACGAAAGCGCCGTTTGTGTGCAAAGTTTCTATGACAATTGGTGATTCAAAAAGAAGATTGAAGAAAGTGTCCAAAGTCGGTGAATGAATAATAACAAGCCGATGAATATTGGTGTGCTCTGCTTCGACGACAACAAAAAGTGAATGTTATCAATGTGCACATGAATTTTTCGAGGAAGAAACAAAGAGACAGTGAATGTGAGATAGAGACAAAAATTTTCACAAAACAAAATAATAATTGATGAATTGCCCTAGAAATTCGCACATATAAATAAATGCACACGATATGATATTTAATGATATGGTGCAGCTGCGCTCATAAATCAAATGATTTATTGATCAAATAAGAAACGGGTACATCCAAATCAACTCTATTTCATATTTAAACTTTGCCTTCGCCGCACAATATTTTGAAACAAAAACAAAAAAGAAGAAAAGTTTGGCTGGTGTTGTGCTGTTTGTTTTTTTTCCCCTGGCTATTTAATTCCAACATTGGATATTAAGTGCAATGGTAAATTCGTAGTGCGGTTGTCGTTGCTGTTCTTATTGGTGGTAAAAATATATGTCAGGAAAATTGTGGATCGCAAACATTTCCACGAAGTGACGAACACAGAGCGAGAGGTGAGACACATACAGACCAAATTCCGTTGTCAAGAATATTTTTTTCAATTTCGAAAAAAGCTCAATAGCTAGAGTAGTTTGTTTTCATTTTGTTCATTTTTTTTCCG